TCAAATAATACTTTGTTGTAATTAGGTAGGAGAAAATTCAAATGCTATCTTAAATCCCCCTCAAGATTAAAACATGAAAGAATTAGTATTGCCTTTAGAATTTTAGCATTAAGACAACAAAATGGTTACAGTGAGGGAAAAAAGCAGTATTTTCAATTTTCCCAAAATCAATCCAAATACCAGAGCTAAACAAAAAACAAAACAAAGAAACAGAAATGAGGATGTGTTGGCTTCATTTCAGTTTTGCTGTGCTCAAGCTTTCTAGAGAAAGAGAAAATCACGCCATCAAGGTTTTATTTCCATAGCACTGCAACCTCAAAGTGAAAAAAATGACAAGGTGCTGCTTTACTCTAACAGTGTGTATTTGCATCTACTAAATTCCTTTATGTCTCAACAGTGAAATCAAAACCACATTAGAATTTTATGAAATATTTTAAACACAAAGAGAATGATTTAATGACCTCTACTCAGCTTTGTCAAATCTTAACATTCTGCCACAGTTCCTTCAGTTTTTAAAAGAAATTGTTCAGATACATGGCACTAAACCCCCTTTGTAGCCTTCTCTGATCCTACTTCCATCCTTCCCTAAAGTGAACCACTACCATGAATTCAGTGGTTACCATTCTTAAGTGTTGTTTCTTACTTTTACTATGTGTGTGTGTACATACAGCTGTTTTACATGTTTTCAAACTTCATATAAATCATATATTGTAGGAATCATTCTGCAAATTTTTGCTCCGTGTTGCTTTTGAGAGACACACAAATAATTTGATGTTGAATATCTTTACAATGAAGTCTGTTGTACATTCAGTTTTCCTACAGTCAGAAGGCTTTCAGTGAAGATGGGACAAGAAGACTTATATGTAATAAGCAGTTAAAAAAAAAATTCCACAATCAAATTCTAACTTTTGGAGTTAAATGTGTAGGTATGTAAGAACTATAGGTGCTTGTGTAAGTGAACAATCAATGAGATGAATGTAGAATTGGATCAGTCTTCAAACACTATGTAAGATTTGAGGAGATGGACACAGTGGAGAGCATTCTAGACAAATAAAAATATATTTCGAATATAATAACTACTGAATGACATTCTCTTTAATTTACACTTTACTTCTACTGGTGATATTTCTCTTTGGTCACTTGGGAAATGAGAACATTTTCTTTTATTTATATTTGCTACTTAATACGTATTAGCTATTGCTTAAAGAAAAATTTTCTGATTTTGTGGTACTCAAAATAAGAGCTACATAATGTCACATATATTTTAACTGGCAGAAATTAAATTTAAATAAAAGTTTTCTTTAACTTACTTCTTTAATGAAACGATATGCCACCTAAAATTTATGTACATGGTAAACTCTAAGAACTTATCTCAGTATGTCATATTGCTTCAAATACAGTGGGCATAGAAAAAGTGGTTGTAGAATGAATGAATATTGTTTACTTCAGAATGGATAAGACATTTTCCCCCTTTTTCTTTCTTACCTGCTTTAACTGAAAATGGCTTTTCCAATAGGAATACTGTTTGTTTCCAGTGTGTTTTGGTACTCTGGGGGCCCGTAGAGAATACGACCTGCATTGGTAGAGTTCAAAAGTACCCGATGAAGCACAAGATTTTTAGTATCATGGTACATTAATCTACTACATCTAATACAAGCTCCAACTGCTTACAACAGCAAAATGCTTATGATCAAACACCTTGGGGCACAAAAATAAAATACAATGTATTTCACATAATTAATTCTTATGAGACAACTCGTGATACTTACCTTATTGTGGCAATTCTTCTCAAAATATATATCAAAGTAGCCAGCAAGTGCCTGTTTAAAAACAAAGGAATATAAATAATTATTAAACTAATTACATAACAATTGATTATACAGTCTTAAGCCATGACAAATAAGAAACCATTTCCAATATCAGACACTCTTAAACTTATGGTAGGTCACTATTTTTCCTGGAAAACACGATATTAGTAAAAATAAAGTAATATAATTTGGCTTTTCCCCACAGAAACAACATAATAGTAAGGGCAACAAGGCTAATCAAATACTCAGTATGTGTTAAATTAGAGAAATGACCGTGGTGGACCACTGAAAGGTGAGGATCTACATGGAGAAAGGCTCATGCGGCCCCTCGCCCAACCAGACTCTTCCACTGAGATGCTGCCATGTGAGTCAAGCCTCCACACAACTGCAGCAGCATGAAAAACCCTAGGAGCAGAACTAGTATGTAAGTCCAGTCCAGACTGCAGAAACACAGACAAGTAAACCTACATGATTTTTGACTTCAAGGCGCTAAGTTTTGGAGTGGTTTGCTAACCACAGCAATAAATAACTAAAACGTACTCTTTTATATGAAGCCCGCTCATTTAATTTCTTCTGATCTTGTTCATCCAGTTTTAAAGCAAAGTACTATGATTATTTTTGTGATGAGATAAATGAAATTTTAAAATACTACGTTTTTTTTCCTGAAAATAAAAACAAGACTATTCAAATTAAACGTATATGTAGGCAAATACCCAAAGAAGAAACTCCAACGTAACTCTCAGGTTTACTGTTAACAGTTTACAAAAAGGCCTCTAAGAAATTAACATGTTCAAACAAATAAATAATTTTCACTTATTTTTGTTTAAAATTTGAACGATACCATTCCTTTTTCTTTCACTAGTGGGACAGGCTTGACTTAATCTATTTTAAAACTGGCATTAAATAAAGCTTATAAAGTCTTAAAAACTGGAAACTGATTACTGAAAAATCACTATAAAGCTAATTACTGTACTTTCCTGCTTTTGTTAAGAATGTGGAGTTTTATTGATCCGCAGGGTTAATGTGGATTGGGCCCAAACCAAATTCAATATTTCATTTATTGTGCTGTTCATCGTTGCTTGTTTCCTCTTTAGTTCTTCTAGGTCCTTGTTATATGTTTCTTGCATTTTCTCTATTCTATTTCCAAGATTTTGGATCATCTTTACTATCATTATTCTGAATTCTTTTTCAGGTAGACTGCCTATTTCCTCTTCATTTGTTAGGTCTGGTGGGTTTTTATCTTGCTCCTTCATCTGCTGTGTGTTTTTCTGTCTTCTCATTTTGCTTATCTTACTGGGTTTGGGGTCTCCTTTTAGCAGGCTGCAGGTTCGTAGTTCCCGTTGTTTTTGGTGTCTGTCCCCAGTGGCTAAGGTTGGTTCAGTGGGTTGTGTAGGTTTCCTGGTGGAGGGGACTACTGCCTGTGTTCTGGTGGATGAGGCTGGATCTTGTCTTTCTGGTGGGCAGGTCCATGTCTGGTGGTGTGTTTTGGGGTGTCTGTGGCCTTATTATGATTTTAGGCAGCCTCTCTAATGTATGGGGCTGTGTTCCTGTCTTGCTAGTTGTTTGGCATAGGGTGTCCAGCACTGTAGCTTCCTGGTTGTTGAGTGAAGCTGGGTCCTGGTGTTGAGATGGAGACCTCTGGGAGATTTTCACCATTTGATATTACATGGAGCTGGGTGGGAGGTCTCTTGTGGACCAGTGTCCTGAACTTGACTCTCCCACCTCAGTGGCAAAGCCCTGATGCCTGGCTGGAGCACCAAGAGCCTTTCATCCACATGGCTCAGAACAAAAGGGAGAAAAAGCAGAAAGAAAGAAAAGAAAGAAAGAAAGAAAGAAAGAAAGAGGATAAAATAAAATAAAGATAAAATAATGTTATTAAAATAAAAAATAATTATTAAGAAAAAACATTTTTTAAAGTAAAAAACAACAAAAAACGGACGGACAGAACCCTAGGACAAATGGTGAAAGCAAAGCTTTAAAGACAAAATCTCACACAGAAGCATACACATACTCACAAAAAGAGGAAAAGGGGGAAAAATATATATATATCGTTGCTCCCAAAGTCCACCTCCTCAATTTGGGATGATTTGTTGTCTATTCAGGTATTCCACAGATGCAGGGTACATCAGGTTGACTGTGGAGATTTAATCCGCTGCTCCCGAGGCTGCTGGGAGAGATTTCCCTTTCTCTTCTTTGTTCGCACAGCTCCTGGGGTCCAGCTTTCGATTTGGACCCGCCTCTGCGTGTAGGTCGCCTGAGGGCGTCTGTTCTTTGCTCAGACAGGACGGGGTTAAAGGAACAGCTGATTCGGGGGATCTGGCTCACTCAGGCCGAGGGAAAGGAGGGGTACGGATGCGGGGCGAGCCTGCGGCGGCAGCGGCCGCCGTGACGTTCCACCAGGCTGAGGCGCGCCGTCCGTTCTCCTGGGGCAGTTGTCCCTGGCTCACGGGACCCTGGCCGTGGCGGGCTGCACAGGCTCCCGGGAGGGGAGGTGCGGATAGTGACTTGTGCTCGCACACAGGCTTCTTATTGGGGCAGCAGCAGCCTTAGCGTCTCATGCCCGTCTCTGGGGTCCGCGCTGATCGCCGCGGCTCGCGGCCGTTTCTGGAGCTCCTTAAGCAGCGCTCTTAATCCCCTCTCCTCGCGCACCAGTAAACAAAGAGGCAAGAAAAAGTCTCCTGCCTCTTCGGCAGGTCCAGACTTTTTCCCAGACTCCGTCGTCCCGGGTAGCTGTGGCGCACTAGCCCCCTTCAGGCTGTGTTCACGCAGCCGACCCCAGTCCTCTCCCTGGGATCCGACCGAAGCCCGAGCCTCAGCTCCCAGCCCCCACCCGCCCCGGCGGGTGAGCAGACAAGCCTCTCGGGCTGGTGAGTGCCGGTCGGCACCGATCCTCTGTGCGGGAATCTCTCCGCTTTGTCCTCCGCACCCCTGTTGCTGCGCTCTCCTCCGCGGCTCCGAAGCTTCCCCACCCACCCCACCGGCCTCCTGTCTCCGACAGTGAAGGGTCTTCTAGTATGTGGAAACCTTTCCTCCTTCACAGCTCCCTCCCACTGGTGCCGGTCCCGTCCATATTCTTTGTCTCTGTTTTTTCTTTTGCCCTACCCAGGTACGTGGGGAGTTTCTTGCCTTTTGGGAGGTCTGAGGTCTTCTGCCAGCGTTGTGGGTGTTCTATAGGAGCAGTTCCACGTGTAGATGTATTTCTGATGTATCCGTGGGGAGGAACGTGATCTCCGCGTCTTACTCTTCTGCCATCTTCCTCAACTCCTCTCCAAATTCAATATTTAACCTTGAGGTTCATTGTACTTTAGATACCAAGAGAGAATCAAAATACTATATAATTCTGTCAAACTGAAAAACCTGTATAAGTCTCAGACCAATCCCTAAACTGTGTATGTGCAGGAGAGACCCAAAACAGTATAGCAAACTCTTAGAGAATGGAAATGAGATTTGAACCATTGTCTGCCAAGACACTGCTGACAGAACTTATATCTTGACTTTGGATGGACTGCCTGTTAACAACGAACATCAACACTGCCCAGATGATTATAACCCAACTAAGAGTCCAAAATATCCAGGATACAATCCAATATTACTCAACATACAAAGTCCAGGAAAATGTAACCAACTCTCAAGAGAAAAGACAATCAACAGATGCCAATGCTGAGATGATCCAGATGCTGGTACTATCAGACAAAGACTTAAAGCAAATAACTATGCTGGTATAAGTTAATAGCAATGACGTAAAATAAACACACTGAAATGAATCAAAAGACAGGAATTCTCAGTAGAGGAATAGAAACTATGAAAAGAGAACCAAATGGAAATTTCAGAACTGAAAAACACAATAACTGAAACAAAAAACTTCCTGGGCTGAATTGCTGAATTGCAGAATGGAGATGATAGAGGAGGACAAGGTCAGTGAATGTGAAGTTAGATCAAAAGAAATTATCTAATTTTAAAAAACAAGGGGAAAAGATTGAAATAAAATGCCCAGAGACTCAGGGACCTGTGGAACTAACATACATGTAATAGGAGGTCCAGATGGAAAAGAAAAAGATATTGGAACAAAACAAACAAACAAACAAACAAAACAAACAAAAAAAACCTTTCAAAATTCTATATCCAGGAAAAACATCCTTTAGGAATGAAGATAAAATAAATGAATTTTCAAGTGAAGGAATATTAAGAGAATCCATTGCCAACAGGCTTTTTAGAAGACATTTTAAAGGAAGTTCTTCAGGCTGATGGGCAATAATACTGGAAGGAAACCTGAAACATCAAAAATGAGAGAAGAACGATAAATCGTTGGGTAAATATAAAACACTATGTTTCCCCTCTGAATTCCTTTAAGATACCTATGATTTTTTAATGGAAAAATTATAACATCATCTGGTGGGGTTTTCAATGTATGCACATGTATGCACAAAGATCAGTGTAGGGGGTGAAGGGGTAGGAGGGAGGAAGAATGAAATCCCACCAGTATATACAAGTGTTTATAAAATCTGGAAATAAAGAAGGTTTATTTTTAAGTATCATAAGCAAAGCAGAAACTTAATAAAGAAAAATTTAAATTGTAGTATCAAAATTAAAACATGAATGACAGATCTGAGAGTATTTACAATATAAGTAACAAAGGCTCACTGTCCTTTGTACATTAAGCTACTACAAATTAATAAGAAAGCAATACGTCAGGGCTTCCCTGGTGGCGCAGTGGTTGAGAGTCCGCCTGCTGATGCAGGCAACACGGGTTCGTGCCCCGGTCCGGGAAGATCCCACATGCCGCAGAGTGGCTGGAGCCTGTGCTCCGCAACGGGAAAGGCCACAACAGTGAGAGGCCCGCGTACCGGGGAAAAAAAAAAAAAAGAAAGCAATATGTCAAAAGAAACTAACAACAAAAAAGCAGGAAATTTACAAAAGAAAAATCAAATGATTAATAAACATGCTAAAGAAACTGTTTCACCTACTTAGAAAAAAATAAGTCAATTAAGACAACATGATACAATTTTCCTTGATCATGTTGAGAAAAGGATTTTTTAAATGATAATGTCTACAATTAGTGGGGAAAGGTGCATTCATGCTGTGAAAGTAAACTGAAATAACCTTTCTAGGGGAATTAAGTAATACACATTAAAAGATAAAACATTTGTACTAAAAAGAAGTCAGACACAAAATAGTACACACAATATGATTCAATTCATATACAGGAAATTCAAAGACAGAAAAACTAATTTAGTGTTACAAGTCAGAATAGTAGTTATCCTTGCAATACCGGTAGAAACTGGAAGGGGTTATGTGATAGGCTCCTGGGTTGCTGGTAATACTCTGTTTCTTAAGTTGAATGCTGGGTATATGGCGGGGTAATCACTTTGTGCAATTTTACCAAACTATACTTATGATTTGTGTACTTTTCTGTTTTCATGCACACAACTAAGATTTCATACAATGTACATACTCATTGATCCAGTAATTAAAAACTTCCAAAAATTAAGTATGCTTGCAAAGATTTAAACATGTCAAATTTAGCCCACATTTTCAACAACAGGTGATCAGTTAATAAAGCATAAAATCTACAAATAATAGAATACCATTTGGCCATGAAAAGTAATCCTGTAGACAAATATTTACTGATTTGGAAAAATAGTTGTGATATACTATTAGGTGAAAAGAATAATATATATTTATTATGGGCACTTATCCTGTGTTATACAAATGTGAATATATACATCTATATGGAAAGATTTCACCAAGCTATTGAAAGTGGATGATAGATTTCTAATATTAATATTCTTTATGCTTATATATAATTTACATTTCCCATAAATATGAACAAATTCTGTGATAAGTTATTTTTAATAATACTTGAGTTAAATAATCTATAGTATTGCATAGAGAGGCATTCAATTCAACTATTACCTTTGTACATTTCCCTTAATGACTCTGAAAAATCACTCATCTCTGCACCCCAAGGGTTAGGGCAGAGTCTAATATATAGTAGGAACTAAATGAATTTGAAGAAAAAGAATGACAAGTTTTCCCCAACTAGTAATTCTACAAAAAGAACATTTTCAATAACTATTTTTCTTCTCAAGAGATTAGCAAAAGCAAATTAAGGGAAAGTAGCAGGTAAAGGAGAAAAGGTGTAAACAGAATAGTAACAGTAATAAAAACTATGGAAACTATATGAAAACATTAAGATGATTTTTTAAAGATTTTAGTAAGTGGGTTTCATGGTGAGACAGTTAGTTACCTTATAACTATTCTTTAAGTTATACACATGTTTTTATGTATTCCTTATACTCTGTTACCAAAAAAGAAAGCGGAGGGGGAAAAAAACCCTAGTTAGCTAATAAAACCTTTTGTGAAAACAAATTCAGGTTTAAAAAAAGCTCTTACAACATTATCAGAAAATGTGACGTGAATCTGAAATATATATAAAATACACTAAGTGATATGAAATATATATAAAATACACTAAGTGATATATTTAACTCTGATAAAATACAGACTGGTAATGTTAATATAGTAGAACACTGCAGAATTATAATTATAGAAGGTCTTAACAAAGAGGAGAAGCTGATACACAAGTTTACAACAAAATTAAAAAATAAAGATAAAAAGATTTGAGAATACAAAGATATTTTAGAACTGTCTTCCAATCCCCAAATCCAACTATCTATGAAATTTAGTTAAAAATCAAAAAAGAAATTAACGCTTGCCCAGATACCCAAAACTACAGTGAAATATTGAGTAGTTTGGGGGTAACCAAAAAACAGTTTATAAGCCTGAAGACAAATAAATAAGAAATAAAAATGAACGACAGCTATTTTATAGTTCCCTCTGAAGTGCGTTATAGTATATCCAACTCCTCATGCAGATTTACCCTCCTAATGATGTTTGGTTGAGGGTAGTATTAAAATCAGTTCCATAGCAAATATTAATCAGAAGCATGAGGAGAAGTCAGAAAGAAAATCACCTGGGATTTAAAATTACATGCAGAGGTAGCATTCACTTAACTGAGAAAGTGGAAGATGCTTGCTCTGAAAAACCAAAGGGATTTTCTGGGCTTAAAATGGTATTTACTCTCAAACACAAGCAAGGACTAAAATGCCACGTTAGGGAAAGCGCTTCCTTTTTTTTCCCCCCTGTATAAATGATCCTTGATAATTAAAATAGATATTAGAAAAAAAGAGGAAAAAACCTTAAACTTGAAACATAGTCATATAAACTAGTGGAACTATGATCAGTGTTTTTCTGCAAGGCCATTATAAACAATCAAATATGTCAGCTGATTTGGGGACAAAACTATTCATTTTGCTGCAGAATATAAACATACAACTATTTTTCAATTATAGTTTCACCTCCTTGTTACCATCACTTTGACAGGCTATCTCTAGGTGTTTTAAATGTTAATTTCAATGAACTTAATACTCTGTCTGTGGAAGTCATTCAAATATAAGAATAAACCACCACCACAGGAAATTGAAAATGACTAATTGGCAATGGTAATAAATAACTGCAGCACAACTTGACATGTGCTTGAAAAGATCAGATAGGTTTGAAGGCCTGACCACAGAATAAATGTCCCTTTTGTTCCATACATATCTCTAGTCAGGGGCAAAGGGAATGCTAAGGAGAAAAATAAGCATTGAAATCAATTATCTATAGGAGCTGCGTTAATCTGCAAAGGCAAGGTCACAATGAAATAAATAAAATTTCACTGACTTACACCACACACCACAGTCAGAAAAATTTTAGTTATAAAAGTCACTTAGACTGAGAGAAAGAATGAGTAGTAATTACGAACAATAGTGATGACGACAGAAGGAAACAGAATGAAAGAAAAATATACACTAAATTTCTGGGATAGTTTGATCACGCTTGTAATTTGGTGAGAATCTTCCATAATTACTTTGAAGTGCACAGGAAAATAATACAGACGTGTAGCTTTATTGTGCATCTTAAATATTCCTAAGTATTAGAACAGAGTTTCACAATGAGCTGTTTTGTTTCTGCTTTGTGGATTTCACAAAAAGGAAAAACATAACTCACAGCATTTGTAAATTGAATCATTTGAAAATCTGTTTTAAGCCACGTTTTGCTTTTTCATCCCATACATACAAAGGTAGATGCAGTTCGTTTTATACGTGCTCATTTGAAGAACAATGACATGGAATAAAAACGAATTACTTTCTCATGTATTTTGGTGTGATGAGTACTTCTTTAAAGCAGACATATCATGTGTGTATGTAACAGGATGCAGCCAATGAAATAAGATCAGACTACACCTTATGATGAAGAAGGAAATTAAAGATTATCATTATCACTATCACCTGCAGGGAGTAATTTATCATTTCTGTTCTTCATTGGTATCATGTTCCAACAGCGTGTGGTTACAGCAGATACAATTAGGCAGCTGGCCACAGAAGTAGGAGGATAATGTGCTTTTGATGGAGTTTATCCAAGCATGCAGATAGAGTGCTTGTAATCCATGCAGCAGAATCACTATAACAAAAATACAGTTTATTTTTTGTTGGAGTATTTCTTTCAAAATCTTAGTATGGAATTCAAAAGCTAACTGACAATGAGTCTGAAGCAAGTGAAGAAAGAGTAAGAAGATACTGCATAAAAAAGATTATACGTTTTAAGCTTACATCATTGTCTATAAACCAACAAGATGAAGATAAAAATACAGGCCATACCAAGCTGCTGCATAAAGACCATGAACTCTGATGGTGATAACTAGTATTTAAACTAAGAAGACATAATCAACAAAAATGAAAATTACATATTATGATATTCTCCTAATGTTAACAATAGCTTAAATTATAGACTCTTCCCTCTTCAATTAATTTTCTATTTTATCCCAAGAGGAAATCTGCATCTTTTCTTTCCTGATTCCTCTAGGGAACAATACACGTTAAGTGCCATATACTTCTCAAGGGATATTGCCAAACTGAGTAGTGTTTAGAAATAGATCAAGCAATATGGAAAGCATCAAAACAGACCACAGGTCTCAGAATATTTTTAAAAGGTACTTTTACTGAAAAACTCAACATAACTAATTTTTGATCTACTTAAAATATTCCCAAATTATAACTGAAATTCCTTTAAAATTTACTTAGATTTCTCCCTTGTAATTTCAAAATTGCTTATGAAAGTGGTTTTACGGAGCAGATGAGATCACCTCTTCAGAACCTAAAACGTAAATACTTCAATTCTGACGTTCTGTAGATTGATATCTTACGTGGCCTAACTCCTTTACATTTCTTCCTAGCTATAAATAAGATACTATTATTTTATACATTCAATATTCACTGAGATTTACCAATATTTTCACTTAAAAAAACCTTTTAGAGTATAACGGACATGCAGAAAAGTACACAAAAGTGCACACCATGGTGAATTTTCAAACAGAATACAGCTATGATACCCACCCTCAGATCAAGAACCAAAACACCCCAGCACCTAGCAGTCCCCCTAGGCACCTAGCCAACCCTTGGCACCCCCACAGGGTAACTACTACCCTGATTTTTTCCCCAGGTTTATTGAGATATAATTGACATATAACAATGTGTAACGTAAGGTGTGCCATGTGTTGATTTAATGCACTTACACATTGCAAAACGATTACCACCATAGTATTAGCTAAACCCCCATCATACCCCATGATTATCATTTATTTTTTTGTGATGAGAACATTTAAAATCTATTCTCTTGACAACCTTCAAGTATATAATATAGTATTATTAACTATAATCATCATGATGTACATTGGATCTCCAGAACTTATTCAACTT